ATGGGCAAAATCATCAGGTCATCACTCTTCTGGGTAACATTTCCAGGATTGCAGCCCAGCATGGTCCCTAGCAGAGGAGAGCACGCAGCTCATCACATCCCAAAGGTGTATGGAGCCACTGTATAATTATGCAAGTGCTTCAAAAGTCCTCATTCTAAACAGAGGAGAAAAAAATGTTTAAATGTGGAGCTGTGCTTGAGATAGCAAAAGCTGCTGTTCATTGAGTTTGGAGATCTCTCAGCTCAATCCCAGAATGCACTGACTTTAGAGCATGTGTAGTTACGTGGGTATTGTGGCTGCTGGAAAAATGATGCTCACAGTCGGGAAAACAGGGGGTTTTTTATCTCTAGTGTTTTACAGAGCCAGAGCGGAAATCTTAAAATTAAAAAAAACCTCCCCAAACCAAAATGCCACTGCAGGGGGGTAGAGATGGAGTGGCAACAATCTGGGGGGTACCTTTAAGGGTCTTGACCGTGAAAGTCTGGCGGACCTAAAGCACGTTGGTGTGGCTGGAAGTTGCAGCGGGTAGTCTGACTGAGTTTGTCTCACACCCCTTTCCTCATCTCGGGGGCTGGGGAATGAAGTCACCTCGGAGATGTCTATCACAGCCCATTTGACAACACAGAGCAATGCATGCAAATGATACAGCACTGCCCATTCCGAGGGAGTGGGGCCTCACAGGAGGCCTGGGAGCACGTGACAGAATCAGTATGATGTTTTCCTTCTCTGTTGCATGTGATTTCCAAAGTGTCCAGAGTAGCAGAGAAATAAAGGACATGTGAGGAATATTTGGGAATTTTCTCCTGGAAATGCAGCTGAAGTCTTACCTTTTTGCTTTAAAATTTTCCCAGCGCCTTCCCATAGGTGCATTAGGTGGTGAATTTTCTTTACCTATTTGAAGTCATTTGGTATGTGAAGAAAGAATGAATCACAGGAGAAGCCTACAGCAATTAGTAATTCCTTTCCTCTCACCTTTGCCAGAGCCAGGTTTTTTCCCTAGAACAAAGCCCAGGCAAGGTTTCCTACGCACAACAGTGATTACGTAGATCACTCTGGATTTTGTTTTTTTCACAGGCCATGAGCAAGCAAAGAAGCTCAGGAGAACACTCCATTTCACAGGCATGTTTGTTATGCTTCCTTGGAAATCCCATTGTTTGTTGGTGGTGCCTGCTTTTGGCTACCAAGAGCTGTGCCCTCGTGACATCTGGCTGCCTTGAACTGCACCAGGGTGCCAGCGAAGAGGCATGAAATTTGGGAAACCAGAAAGGCGCTGCTGGAATCGGTCAGTCCTGGCAGCTGGAGCGCTCCTGTCAGTGTGCTGAGGCAGGATCAGTGAGGGCTTTGTGAACTGCTTCCATCCCTCAGTGGAACCTGTGTCCCCTGTTCCCTCCGTGTCACACGTGTCCCTGCGGGGCTGCAGCGCGGGGCCAGCGCGTTCCCAGGACAGGACTGCTGAGACACACCGTGTGAGTAAGGGCTCGTTTGCATAAGGATTGCACACTCATGCTGAGAAGGAGGCTCCCTGGGCACAGCCTCATTTCCTCCTGTAGGTAGGTCTGCCTTCATGTAGGAAAAACCCTATTCTTGAAGTCCTTGGACAGGACCCAGTTTACAGCGGCACGCCGCGATGCCGCCCTGGCAGGTTTGGGTTCAGCCAAGCCTTACAGCACACTCTGCCCCCCTGGAGCAAACCCGCTCTCTGCTTTGAGGTGGACTCAGGTATCCCACTCCCAGAGCTGTGCTCTGCTGACAAGAGGTCTCATCCCCTCCTAAAATGTTTCGCAGCATCACTGATGCACCAGAGTTTGCACAGATCTGCTCCTTGTGGGTTCCACCCAGGAGGTTTCAGCAGGAGCACAGGTCTGCTTCCAAGAGGGAGAGGAACCTGGAGGTATGAAGTGCAGGGCTGAGAGCTCAAGCTGCCTGGAACCGACATGTTTCTGTGTAAAAGAAAAAAAAAGCCATAGTGTTTGACTACAGTTAAATTATTTTAGGATTTAAAGACGTATTGTCTAAACATGCATGATATAGGCCATTAAGCATTGCAGTCAGAGAGCCATTTTTCCCTCCCATTAGCAGAGTGGTGGCAAATAAAATGAAAAGCACTTAAAAGAAAGAGCTGAGATGAAACAAAAAGCACAAGACTGTGTACAAAAAATTCAGAAATGGCCATACAGTGACAATTCAGGAGTCTTATTTCAAGTATCCCGACCCCTGTGAATGCCAAATTCTTCATTTCACAGGTGCTATGTGCTACACCTGAAGCCACAGGGTAAGTAAACACATTAAATGTTTAGGAAGAAACTGAAGGGAGGAGAGCCGAGGCTGCTCGGGGCCCTCCTGACCTACAATAACAACCGGGCTCACACTCAACTTTAAGATGCCTCTGCAAAAGCAGTTCCTCCGTGGGCTCTGCCCCAGCCCTGCTGCTGGAGGCAGGGGAGTCCAACAGGTAAAGCATCAGTTCAGAAGCAAATACAGGGGAGGCCAAGGCACAGTGTTCTCTGACACGGGCTCGCACCCCACGCCGGGAGAGCCACAGACTGCATTTCCTTGCCACCCACGAGTGCCAAATCACCGCCAGGGCAGTCAGAGATCTTCCCATGCCGGGTGTCCGTTGGTGGGCTCGGTGTGTCAGGGCTGAGGTCATTGCCAAAACCCTGGGAGGGCACAGTGACTCTTGCATTCTCAGACCATGAGCCTGAGCAGCTCGTTTAGAAGTTGATGAATTTGCAGGAAGGGCGGCTGTGGGGTGAATAAAATCTATGACAGAGCCTGGCAGGGCTTCCAGCCTCTGCCGACGGCAGGTCGAGCTCAGGGTACCCGTGGCGGCAACAGATGGGCCTGACAAAAGGCCCTTGGTGGCTGCACAGCTCTGACAGCTGCTGATCACCTTTGGTTTGCAAAGAAAGCAAAAGATTGCCATACATATCAGGAAACTGAGCCTTGCAGTAGTGATTAATCACTCCAAGGACAGGTGAGAACCTTCCAGAGAAGCTGTGCATTTCAGATCAGTACTGACCAAAGCCATGTGTCTGCCCCTCTGGGAAGTCTGGCTTTCCAGCTCCCATTTCTAATCCAAAAGAGGGCGTTATGCCAAAAATATGATTATTTTATCCATATTGTGGTTGGCAGTGCTCCAAATTTTGCATTAAGAAAATGCTGAAAACCTTAATTTCCACTGTTTTGGATGCATACAAAAAAATCTCAGTATTCCTAAGCTCAGAAATGTTCTGTGCCATTCTCAGGATGAGAACAAAGCGCTGCTTTATCGCAGGTAATTTCCAAGCTAAGTCCTCATGGCATGTCATGGACATGGCAAGGAGGCTGTGCCCCCACCCTCCCCTATCCCGACGCCCAAGTCTCACGCATGCCAACGTGGGATGACATTCCGGATGTCTCACGCCAAGACCCGGGGATGTGGGAGTGGAGGTGTAATCTTCCAGGCGGCCGCTAGATGGGAACGAAACCAGCGCTAGGAATGTCACGGGGCGCCAAACGGATCAGGGACACCAGCTGAAGGACAGACTTTCCCCCCCCATGCTTAATATGAATTCATTGGAACAAAACAACTTGGGTGAGTTGGAAAAAAAACCCAACAAGTTTTGACCAGTGGTGAACCAATAGAAATGAAATATCCCAGTTCAGCTATCACAGCAGAAAGCAGAACTTAATAAATAGGTGAATATGTTGGGAGCAGAAATGACCCAAGTCAGATTCCTAGTCTGATTTCTGATATTTGCCTTTCCTCCTTTAAATGCTCCCGTCTCCTGCTAAGGTTTCCACCGGGGCTGGGTGGACTGACCCCAAATGAGCTCCAGATTTTTGGGAGACCGTAGGTGCACTGATTTTGTGAGGTACTGGGTTCTGTTTCCTCCTGACTTCACTACTGTGTCCTTTTTACAGTCAAAAGTCTCTCACTATCTCTTCTTTCCCTCGTCTAAACCCTATTCTTCCCTGATTTTCCATCTCCTTATTAGAACTCCTCAGCCTGCTTTCCACTGTCCCCCTTTCAGCAGCGACCTGCAGGCTTATTCCCTGTTGCTGTTGCTGCGTGTATCCAGATGGATATGCACTTCCACCAGCCAGTCTTCTCTCCTGAAGTTAACCCCCATTTCCCTGCCTGTACCACACAAATGACAGCTGCTCTGGGAGAGGCAGCTGAACTGGCTCCTCTTCCTTATCCATGTGGCTTCTCCAACTTCCTTGACTTCCCGTTATAATGAAGGGCATTGACAACCAGCCCGACAAACCGGAATGGAAAAAGCCACTGTCACAGGGCCATTGGGGACCGCTGACAACTGTCCATGGACAAACGGGGCTTCCCAGCGGGGGCTGGTGCCTGTTCACTCCTGCATCTCATCTCCTAAATCCCAACTGGCTTTTCCTATCAGGAGGCTGATGCCCTCTGGGGACTGGGTCAGAAGGATCAGTCTGGCACCCACCAGGGTAGGGCACAGAGATTTCTCGATATTTTTTTCATCAGTTGTCTTAATCTCCAACTTTGCGGGGAAATCTTTTAATCATAGAGGATGGAATTATATAATGGGAGCGTTGGAGCAATTTAAAATAATGATGACTCTCTGTGCAAGACTGAACTTCTACATTTACTGATGAAACACCTTCCATCTGTCCTTCCTTACATCTGTCCTCTCTTCCCTCCTTTCTGTCCATTAGTTCACCCATCCATCCACCCTTTCTTCAGCACAGACACAAAGGGTGACTGCTACTGACCCAGGTCAGATATGCAATGAGTACATGATCTGTAAGTCTCTCCAGCCCACTTAAGCTCCTCTCTCTCCTCCCTGAGCTCCATTCCTGCCCTTCGCAGAGGCAGCCCCGGGACGAGGTGCCAGATGCGCTGTGCAATCCCAGGCTTGCCTTGGCGGGGACGAGGACCAGTTGTCCAAACGTCCTCCACCTCTGTGATGTAACCCAGGGCTGTCACCAAGGCTTCCTGCAGCTCCCGGCACACTTGTGACGTGACCGGCTGACACAGCCTGAGGAAACCCGCCGAGGGGGACACATGACTCACAAAGGGCTGGGGTTGCCCAACACAACGAGGCACGAAAAGACAGCAGGCCTCTGGAGAGAGGAAGGTCAACTCCAAGCTAACTGCACTGCTGTGGGCATCTGTTCCCTGGGCTGCAGCTGCACAGTCTGCTGCAGGGGTGTTGCTTTTAACCCCTGTGGCAGCCACAAAAAGGGCTCTGGAAAGGGCAGTTTCAGGTTTGGTAACTGGGCACACCACTGACGCTGAAAAAGCTTTTCCCTCAAGAAATGATGAGGCGATGGATGGCTTGAGTTGCTGGGACTACTCACTCTCTGCAGTTCTGTGGCTGGCAGCTGCTTTTGGAAAGGTTTTTCTTCTAATGCCCTCCTAAAACTAGTCAGCCACGTAGTGACAGGGGGAAACATCGACCCCAGCGATGTCTGCACAAAAGCAGAGCATTTCAGAGGGTTTACAGCAAGCCTTATTTCAAACCCTTCCACAGAGCACCAGGGAGGAGTTGTTGCTGCTGCTTTCTAGGTCAGATAGCCCCAGGCCTGAAAACAAGCATCAGATGGCCTTTGCCTGAATCCCAGAAGGCTGGAACAGGTTTTAGATAAAATATACAGAGTTGTGGGCAAGAACTCCAGGGTGGGGTTACCCAGAGGGCAAGTCTGGGATGGGCTAGGTTTGGAAAGGATAGGGAGACGTCCAATGGAGCATTGCTGCAGCTATGGGAGCTGTGGCTGCTCAGTCCTCCAGAGAGCTGCCAGCACAAGTGTCTGAGGGAGAAACCCTGCACAGTGACACACTGGTGGCCCTGAGGACAGGTCATCCACCAGTACGATGACCGGATCATCAGGTGGGCCTCTCCACACCAGTATCTAGTGCCAATCCCTGTCCCCCCCCGCCCACTCTGCTGTGAAGCAGTTTGTCCCAGGCAGGGGAGAACTGCCCTGGCAGGAGCCTGTAACACCCATGCAGGAAGTGAAGCCGTGGGGGAAGGAAGGCTCAGGCAGGGCCACCTGGGAGGCACAGTACAGGTGCTCTCACTGTGGGGAAGAGGCAGCCCAAGGTGAGTCTGGCAGTGGGTGGTGCAGGAGAGGAAGAGCTGCACCAGAGGGATGGAGGTGGTGCCAGCAGAAACCATGGAAAGAATGAGGGAGGTTCACTCTCAGAGACAAATTATGTGGGGTGTGTCAGCAGGACCCGGCTGTGCGGTTGCTGGACTGGCAGCCTCCGTCCAGCCGGCACAAGCTGTTGAGGTGGCAGGCTGGTATGTGGCCCCAAGCTCTGCAGTTTCTCAATCATGTGCACGAGAGAGAAAAACACAGGTTCTGGAAGGGCTGTTATGGGCTGGGAGTCAGATGAGCAACAGGATAGGTGGAGAAAGCCCAAGCCAAACCAAGACAGTCAGCTAAATGTTAAGACAGATAGAAAAAACAAACAAATCCTGCACAGACCTGAAAGTGGACTATTCCTCTTAAATGTGCCTGAGCCAAAGAGTTAAAGGCATGATAAGCACCAGACTGCTGTTACTGCAATTGAAACCTTCTGCGAGAGCAGCAAGGGGCACGGGGACCCGAGTGCTGCAGCAGAAAGGTGCATCTTCAGCTCTGCTCCCCTTTTTGGATGCTCCTGCCAAGGGGAGAGGCAGATAGGGCAGCACGTGGGGACCGGACCTCTGGGCTGAGTCTCTCTGGGAGCCCAGGAAAAGCTTCTGGAGGATGAAGAGGGACCGGCCAGAGCAGTTCACAGACTGGTAGGGAAGCCTGAGGGGGAAACAGAGATGTGTCACCACAAACCCTAACTGGGTCATAGCAAGAATGGAAGGAGGCTCCAAGAATCGATTTTTGGGCCATCTTCCCACTGGGAAAGGCTGCACTAACAATGAGGCTGTGGCTGAGGTTGCCATTAGCTGTCACCCGTAACCCAGCAGAACAGGTTCCTGTGTCCCAACTGGATTACAGGAGAAGGAGAGAGGAAGTGAAAAGCTGAAGAGCAGCTAGGAAGGGCCCTGTGACACAGAGTTAATCCAGTTAACTGGGAATGACCAACGATCCCCTTCTAATTCGATGCTCAAGGAGACACGAAGGTCCAGGCAGAGTAGGGAAAAATTTGTACCAACCAAACCCATCTTAACCATTGACTGCTCTGCACTGAGGGCTGGGCAAGGACTGGTCTGTGGCAGTGCCAGTGCTGAGAGTTTGAGTTATCTCAGAAGGTGGCAGAAGGTAGCCACAGGCTACCTGCACAGATCCAGCATGGTGAGCATAATCCCTACAGGATAACCCACTGTTGCACAAGTCAAGAGATCACAGCTCTCACACCCACAAACTCCCAACAATGCAGGCCGACCGGGAATGACGTAAAGGTTGGGCTTTTTCTCACATCTTCTGAAAGTGTGAGAAGTGATGGGATTAGCAAGGATGATTCAGGTGCTGCAGGAATCCTTCCTGTTCACTGGGAGCCACACATGGGGTGTAGCTGAACCCAGCAGGTTATTCTATCAATATTTCAGGCCAACAAGATATCCGCATTATGCCCAAACTCAAAACCTTTCCTTGCTCTCCTCCCACCTGTAGGATGGACAGTGTGGCAGAAACAGTGTGGGGAGGACTTGTGTCCTGGTTCTGAGGCAGATTTCCTTCTGTAGCTACACTCACACTCTGAGCAGCCACAGGTTAGTGCGTTCAGCTGCACAGATCCACTTGTGCTGCTGTGTCCCTGCTGCAATCCAAAACATAACAAGCACAACCTTCCTGAGGGTATGGCCTGGCATCTGTGCTGCTGTCACGCAGTACCTATTGGATAGGCTGCACTGGGAGCTGTGTTTTAAGACTTCCTACAATTATGCCAGCTAAAAGCTGTTCATTGGAACTAAGGTGCATTGATATATATTGTTAACAATACTGTGGTTTCTCTCTCCAAAAATAACTGCTGGGGTTTCAAAGATCCTGCTCAGTCAAGCCACGTCAAGTTTCGCTCTAAGATCATTGAGTCCAAGCATTAATCCAGCACAGCCAAGGCCACCACTAAGCCATGTCCCCAAGTGCCACATCTACATGTCTGTTAAATCCCCCCAGGGGTGGTGACTCCACCACTGCCCTGGGCAGCTGTGCCAGGCCTGGACAGCCCTTTCTGGAAGTTTTCCCATTGTCCAACCTGAACCTCACCTCGTGCAACTTGAGGCCTTTTCCTCTTGTCCTGTCCCTTGTTCCCTGGGAGCAGAGCCTGACCCCCCTCTGGCTCCATCCTCCTGTCAGGGAGTTAGAGAGAACCAGAAGGTCCTCCCTGAGCCTCCTTTTTTCCAGGCTGAGCCTCCCCAGCTCCCTCAGCTGCTCCTACTGCTCCAGCTACTTCCTCAGCTCTGTTCCTATCTCTGGACAAGCTCCAGTGCCTGAATGTCTTTCTTTTAGGGCCCAAAACTGAACACAGGATGCGGTGACAAAGATACGAACCAGGATTGGCCCCAGTACTGAGCCCTGGGGAACCAGTTTCTACCAGTGGAGGTGACTCCACTGACCCATCATCCTTTCAATGCAGCAGATATTTTGACTTTGTCTAAACTTTTATTTCAAGGAATACAATTGCTTTGAGTATATTCACAAGAATAAATATAAAATTCTTCTCTCCAGAGCAAGAAGACGAGTTTTTATAAAAATATATCTCTATCCCACAAAACCACTTAGGTGGGGTTTCCTTTAGGAAATATTATTTAATAAAAAAATAAAACACTGCAAATAAAATGCTTGACCTATACAGATTGAATCACCAAACAATTGAAATTTTTTTAAGGTTATAAATATAGTAAATATTATCAATAAAAATAATATTTAAATAGATGGGAAGCCACTGAGTCCATCCAGATGAACGGAACACTGCAGGAAGTCACCGTCTCTCCTATAGGGCACCAACTTCCTTGTATTCACTGGCATTTGTTTGTCTCCTCTTGTTTCGGTACCTGGAGCAGAGGAGAGAAATGTGAGTTTTGGAAAGATGGTTGTTCCAAATGGCTTTTTGGGGAGTGAAGGGAAGGAAGGAAAAAAAAAAAGCTGTATGACCTTCTAAAGTTTGTTTTAAATCTCTCCTCCTTTAAATCTCTAGCTCCTGGGCTCTGTCTGTGCTCATTTCCAGGTCTGAGATCACTCGCGTGCAGTCTCCTTTCTCAGCTCTTCACTGAAAATCCCACATCTGCCTTAAAGTCTTCCTGTGGGTAAGTAGGTCTGTCTTTGAGAAATCCTGCTGGTTACCATCTAGCTATCAGATCTGGGAAGCTGAGCTCTCCCTCCGGAGTTGTTCCACCTCCTCAGCTCTCTGGCAGCTGCTTACTGTAATTTTTAGCCTGGAGAATGATTCCTGCTGCTTGTGGGTCTGTTCATGGAGAAGACTACTGTCCCCCATGGTAAAGCTGACAAGGCAATGCTCATGATATCACAGGCACCGCAATAACATGGCAGATAACGAATTAGCAAGTAGTAATCCAGCTGTTCTCCATTTCCTGATGACTGGGGAAATGGCACTACCAATAAAAGAACCAGAACTTTCCTATTCCCTCTCTGCTCACTCCTTGACCTCAACACACCCTCTAAGCCAGACATGTTTATATAGTCCTTATATAGACAAGCTACATAGTCCTGTGCTGGGGCGAAAAGGCACCTGGGAGTGCTGCAGCCTGGCCTGCAATTTGGGTTATGCCACGCTGTCAGCACACTTCCTTTCCTGAGCACTTCTGGTGCAGGCCAGCAGGTCTGTACATCAAACCGAATCCGCGCACTCGAGGCAGTGCGGTGTGCCAGGCTGTCCACAGGTACTCCGAGGGTGCCTGGCAACACCTGCAGCCGGCTCACCCTCCTGAGCCACCGAGGACACCTGTCTTACCTCCTGTAGATGTAGTAGCTTGCAAGGGAGATGGCGGCGACGAAGAGCAGAACCACGATAACCGTCAGTGCCACGTACTCCTTGCTGAGGGGCTGCCGGACCAGCTCCGAGTGCACACACCGCACTCCAGAGAACCCCACGTCACACCTGGGAATGAGAGACACGGAACTAGAGACACGCCTGAGGGGCTCCACTGCGGCACGGACTATGTGCTGAAATGCTGGCCTGCTGTTTCCTCGGGGATAAGCCATTTGAACTGATGTATGGTCCTAGAAAGGGTTGCAAATTCTTCGGGTAAACAAGGATTACCCTTAAACATGCCCTTAGGCATAAAAAGGTCTTTATTTTGTAGGGTGGATCAAAGGGGAGACCCTTGGTGCTGTGCCTGAGATCTGGATCTCACACTACTATAAATACAGATGGACAGGGAAGCACATCAGAACAAGTGTCCCGAGTTGGGTTGGCGATTAATTTCTGGTGTCTGAGACTCTCACACACAGAGATTTCACTGGAGGCAGCACATGTGCTTAACACTTGCCTAAATGCAGCTGAGGTGCAGTATAGATGTACTGCTCCTCTTCAAGTTCTTGTGAGCCTTTAATACTTGGCTGGCTGAGAATTCCAGCTAAGTGCCAGCAGCAGTGAGATCCAAGTTCACCTCAAAGCCCACCCCGGGGATACGTGCAGGACACACAGGGCCCTGTCCACACCTGCAGTAGTGCTCATCCAAGTCCACGATGTACACGCACTGCCCATGGAAGCAGTAGTCCTTCATTTCAGGCTTGCATCTCGTTATCCCCACTTGGGCCACACGTGGGCTGTTCTCTGTCTGGACTGCAAAGGGATTTCATTAGCACCTCAGGAGGTGGGCAATGTTGCTTAGCAGAAAGGTGATTTCCAAGGGCACCTCAGTGAGGCTGCCAGCCCAGGGAAGATGGGAAGCAAAGATCTGTTGTTAGGAAGAGCTGTGCAGTACTTACTGAGCGCTGTGGTGCAGTTCTCCATCTCACCAGGCCCACATAACGGGATCACTGTTGTGCCCAGGGCTGCCTGCAATAGGTAACCTGTGAGAGAATAAAAACAATAGTCAAAACTAGATGCATTTTGAGTTAAGCATTTAAACTGCTGCATTTATTAATATAAGAAAGACAGAAACTTTTTATCCTAGTAGGAAAAAACCAGTGTTGTAAGCTGACAAAATACAGGTCTGAGTGAGGCATATAAGGCAGCCCAAAGACACATCTCTGAAATATGAACTTTTGATGTAGAACAGAGATCAGATAGAAACCTGGTGTCTGTGACCACCTCTCACCCACACGCTGAGTGAACCTGGGCAGGAACAGGCTTGGAGAGATTACACAGGAGGGCAGGAATTGGGCCATTTGATGATTATGTTAGGTTTCTGACTGGCCTGTCACGGCAGCTGTGCAAGGGACACAGCCAGAGTTCCACAATTAGGCACGACAATCCAGCATTCATCATAGCAGTTCTTTCGCTGATAAAAATCAAGATATCCTTGAGTCACAGCAGTCCACAGGAAGAGAATTTCTGAGGAGTCTGCAAGTCAGTGCAGCTGGTGACTCAGCACACCCCACCACTGGCTTCAGAGATCACAAACTGCTTGAAGCAGGCTTAACTCAAAATCTGCTCTTTCCTATGAAAGAGCTCCCTCAGCTCTGTCCTTGCTGTAGGCAGCTGAAGGGCTGGACAGTTCCTGCACTGAGACCCACCCTTTCTGGGCCCTGGGCCACTGTTACTTATCTCCGCAGAACCCCAGAAGAAACAAGCACAGCTTCCAGGAATTCCATTAGTTAAATGGACATTTTCAAACAGGATTTGAAGGCCAGCACAAGTACTCACAAGCATCATGGCCTGCCCATGAGGAACAGTGAATGTCTGCCCCAGCTGGCCATGAAATCCACTTGGTTAACATCCCTGCTGTGGTCACAAATTAACCTGCTCATGAACTGCTTAGTCATCAGCCCCATTCCACGGAAGTCTGTAATTTGTGTCTTTGGGCTGTTTGCCTCTATTAACTTGTCAGGTCATGCATGTCTAATGGAGGGAGTGTGCCTCCATAATTTCTTGATCACTCTAATTCAACTCCAGTTATTAGAAAGTTTCATTACATCTCAGGGTTAAATCTAGTAGTGGTGATTTATGGATTTCCGGCAGCTCATCTATTTCTGGGTGATCAGTAGGCTTCCTTTATCCTTCGTTCCAGCTACATACGAGGACAGCAGGAATATCTAAGAGGGACAGGGGTTTTTCCTGTATTTGAGTTTTTAAAACCACCATTCCTTGCAAAGCTAAGAAGCCAGGTTTCCATCAAGTTTTAGATGGGGCTCTCCCCCCCAGGGCCATAGCCATGGTATCAGATCCATGATGCTGCCAGCTGCACAAGCTGGAGACTCCTGCGCCTGCCGTCGTGACTCAGCAGGACCTGCCTTTCACTCCAATAGGGCAGGACGTGCAAGTTTACTTTCAGGGTGGGATTTTCTTTTAAAGCAGCGCTGTGCTCAGTGCAGATTTCCTCAGAGGCAGCAGTTTAACGTTTCTGTAAGGCCAGTTCGAGTTGCCACAACAGAAAGTTCAAGAGTTTGAAAGAAGAGGCCATCGGCTGACAGATGCTGGCAGCTCAGTTACTGCCAGAATGGCAGACTGAGCTCCAGCACGGACCTGGGGTCCCCAAAGATGCTGGGAAAAGAAGATTTACCGAGTCAGTCCTTCTTCCCAGGAACTAGGGGGACATTTCAGGAGTGCTTGACAGACTAAGCTGCTCCTTTGGCAGGGAGGAGCTGCGGCACAGGACAGCTCTGTCCCGTGACAGGGATACATGTCACAGAAAGAGGTAACAACAGTAAAGAGCAGGAGTCAAGGCAAAACATGCCAGAGGTATCCAAGACACCCGCTTGTTAAGCAGATTGATGAAGCCAGCTGAGGATCTCTTCCAGCCATTCCACATTTCTGTGTCAGTTTGCATACTCCCTGGACCTGAGCATCACCTGAGCAGCTGATTTTTCATCTGAAGTTCCCAGTTTGAGAGTTACCAGAACCCAGCTTTTGCATTTGAGAAGTTCCAGCCCAGGTCCATGGAAGAGACAAGTCAGCTCTCCCCCTTGGCTCCAGACGGAAGCCTCACTTTCCAGCTAGAGGAAAGGCCACAACTCAGACACCTGTGAGGGACAAATTAAAAATAACCTCCTCCTCCAACACTGTCCAAAGGTTTGCCCGATCCCAGCCATGCACGGTGAATGACATCCTCCTCCACCTGAAAGCAGGCACACAGGGCTGGAACGGCTGGAGCACAGCTGTAGATACTTGCTGACACCCAGCAGTATTTGCTGCTTTTGGGCAAAGTTCTTCCTGCTTTGCACTGCTCTGTTTTGCCCTTTCCCCCATGCACATACTTCTCCTCTGACATCACTGGGAGGATAAGGGATCCGCACACAGCAATGGCAAAGGAGAGCCTTTCCCGGGATATTTATCAAGTGATGGATATCAAACACAGCACCTGGGAGAGGTTATATTTTTATTCCTTTGCTGTTCATTAAGCAAATACAGGGCACAAGATAACAGTAATGAGGTGGTGGATTTTCACGTGTGCCTTGCAGGAATGTGAGTGCTACACGGATTGCTACATCACTGGCATCCAACAT